TGCACCAGAGGGCCAGGAGAGAAATCACAAAAGCGCTTAGAAGAAGAAGAAAGTTTCAAATTCATTTTAGACTCAGAACGCTTTTGCACGCAATTCTACTTCTACTCCGATGACCTTTCGGAGGAAGAAGAAGATTTTTCAGGCAGCGAACTTGTTGTCTCTGACGTTAGCGATAGTGATATTGTTGATGATGATGTGCAGGAATTGAAGTTGCTCCTAACTTGTACATCTTGGGATAAACCTTATTGCTTTCGTTTTTTGTTGATGCAATGAAACAGGAGCACAGATCTTCATAAAGTCAATTTTTTAAAAAATTTTTAATTTCTTTTAAAATTTTTCAATTTTTTTCTCAATCTGTGCCTAAATAAGGTACAAATTAGAGCTCTTCATACCACGCTTTTTCACCTTTTCTCTCTTCCTCCCTTCCCTCCTAGACTCACATACCCCCTTCACCCTGGAAGGTCGGGAACAGCCGAGACCCCCTTCACCTGGGGAGAGCCCGGCTCCCCCTATCGCACCTATGGTTCACATTGCATTACGCACGATGATGTCACCACGTTTTCAAATTGGTCTGAAAATCTTAGCTTAAAGGCAGTGTCCGGGCAAGAACTCGATTTTGAGATTTTGTGCTTATACGGGCCTATTCGCCATGCTGAATCCGAAAATCCACATTGGAAAGCGCGAAAACGACGAATAGGGGTTCTAATACTGGAGGGAAATCGGCAAGTGGGCGAGGCCTTCCCCACTGTGAATTCACGCTTCCAGCTTCCAGAAAAATTTTCTCGAATCCGTTAGCCTCCCTGACATCACTACCGATCAAGTGCAAACGAATGACTTGAAACCGGAATCAAAAAGATCGCCCCCGAAGCTGGGAACGTGAATTCACCTTGGGGAAGACCCCGCCCACTTGCTGATTTCCCTCCAGTGTTAGGCCCCGGGCAGACTTCACGCGATTTGATCGTCGCGACTGAATCGCGAGGAGACAACTGTTACAACATCATTCCATGCAGATCAACTTGCATTCGGTTGTGATACTTTTCCAGACCGAAATTTTTGAATGTGAAATGAAAATGAATGGAAATCTTGGCGATTTGGTCGCGACGTTTAAGTCGCGTGAAGTCTGACCGGGGCCTTAGAGTCCTTTTTCGTCGTTTTCGAGCATTCCAATGTGGATTTTCGGATTCAGCACAGCGAATAGGCCCGGGTAAGCACAAAATCTCAAAATCGAGTTTTTGCCCGGACACTGCCTTTAAAATCTCAGCACGCAAAATTCTGAACCACTTCGTTTTTATCACGGGTCGCGATGCAATTGAGCAATATCATTCATGAGAGTTGCACACGATGACCCCTCAATGCCAGCTGAGACGTTCGATCGCATTGCAATCAACCGATGCTTTGAATACTTGCTAAATAAAAAAGCTAGCTGCGGAATGCCAAGGAATGAATCCACGATGCCAGATGCGACATTCCACTCGACAAAAAGATCTCGGACTACAGAAAAACACGAATGGAGCTGCAAAAGGAATGATGGTGCCAGCAAGCGAACGTCTATATATACTTAGTCATTGTTACTCATGCATTTTCCACCACTTATACTTATTGCTTGTGTTGCCTTTCTATTCGCTCATTCCTTGTACGTAGGATAGCACATTTAATTTCTATCCTATGTTTTTGTAATTACCTTTTGTACAATTTTTACAAGTAGTCCAAACTCTACAAGATACCCAAGACATCATTTTGGTTTGACTTGTCATCATCATAGTTCCTTTTTCATGTTGGTTTGCTTCGTTGCTTACGTATATATTAGGTTGGTGCAAAAGTAATGCGCGTTTTGCGAGTTTTCACTTTGACGTGCTATAACTTTCTGAAAAATCCATATTTTTCAGTGCGGCAAAGTTCATCAGAAGCACCAAACCTCTCTCTATACAGAGCACTTTAACTTATGTTAACATCGCAAATCGGTGGGAAAATATGGATTGTTAAGCAAAAAAATCTTTTTTCGGAAACCTCATTTTTAACTGATCATAACTTCCTTCAAAATTTGTCGATATAAATGATAAGTTGACTATCTTGTAGCCGCAAGCTAATAGTACAAAAAAGTACAAAAAAGGTTCAAATAAAGAATATTTGCGAAAAGGAAAAAAATAATATTCAAAATTTTCCGCTTTTTCGACATTTTTTGGTAGCCCTCAAAATCCCAAAATATGGAGATTTTTGATTTTTTATGTACTGAACAGCTTCCACATTTCTGCAAAAACTGTCAACGGGAAGGTCACCCTTACGCTTACAGAAATGAGCAAAACTTTGACGATTGCCCTCTTCAAAGAAAATCTATGGGCTACAGAATGGCCAAAACCATCACTCATGTTGAGGCGCCGAGATCTCAGTCCAAGGAATTTCTAGGAAAACAATAAAGCGTGCATAACGTAGAAAATTTCTACTGCATGCAGTAGTTAAATTTTCAAAGAATGAATTTACTCGCGCTTGAATTCTGGCCGAAAAACTAAGTGCAATGAAATTCTGGTTTTGAGTGCGGTTGTATGAAGCTCTATGAAATTTTAACGAATGAGGCTAGAAGCCTCTTTCAACCACCCTTGAATAGAGCATGAAAGAAGCTTCTAAATAATATGCTGGGTAAGTTTCATAGGAGAAACCTCGACGGAGAAAAGCTATCTTGAAAGAAGTTCTAGAAAAACGCGCATTACTTTTGCACCAACCTAATATCTCAGGCAGAGTGACGGATTAATTACCCAAATTTGAGGTAATTGGCGATAAACGCGTGTCGTTCGTTGGTGGTTGGTTGTGGTTCAAGCGGCAACGTTGAAACAACCTTTTTAGTTCTCACGAAATTCAAAAATGGATGTAAAAGATAGAAGATGTAAAAGATGTATCACCGTCAAGCAGGAATTACCAGCCTATCAATCCTTTTGAGGAATTGGCCGTGAACGCGTACAAAAAAAGCTGGGAGATAGTGCAGTTTGAAATTGTTCGCTAAAATTGTTCGCTAGTGCTCTCGTGCTGGTCATCCGAGGTGGACTCGACTACTGTGACGAGGTAGCCGGTCAAATATAAATCTGTGGCCGTATTTATCAACGTACCTTGAGGGTAAATCTTACCCCAAAATGCGACTAACCCATATTCACAAACGTGGTTCATCAGGGTAAATTTAACCTTACCTCTAACAGCGTATTAAATTCACTCTGATACTTTGTAGAAAAGGTGATTTATTGAAGCACCACTCAATCTCAGCGATACTGTTTTTACAACAGACACATATTTCTAATTATTATTATTTCAAGTTTCCCAAGTCCTCTTTTTCGTCTCGTTAATCATATTACAAAAACTAGGTTGAACTGTCTGTTATTTTGCTAGTCATCTTCAAGCTCATTTGGTTGAGCTACGATAGTGATTATGTATCGAATTATTTACTAAGCGAGTACATTGGTGGACTGAAATTTGAATGAGAGAGTTGCATCTTACCAAAATTTTTCGAGTCGTTGAGTTTGATGTTTGCCATATCAAAGTCCTTACTGGACATGTACTTCATTCAGAACTAAACCTTTTACTATAACAATCGGCGGAATATAATACCGGATGATAACATCAAATGAAAACACGGGAAGAGACCTTAGGAAGTATGAGATGGTGGTAACGTAACCATGAATATGTGTTTATTGTAAAAACAGTACCGCTAGGACTTTAGCGCATCGAAAGATCATTTGATATTTTTACATAATGTCAGAGTGAATCTAATCTTGCTCTATGCTAGGTTTAAACTAGCCTTGATGAGCCACGTTCGTAAACGGAATACGGTATAGTTGTGACAAACATCAATTTTTTCAAATTTTCGAACGAATGAATATCAAATATTTGAGTTTCGAAAATTCTTCGAATGTACGAATATTATTCGACTTTTGTTTTTCATTTTATTCGAATTTGAATATTCGAATAATGGCACATTCCATAATTCGAATGAACGAATTCTTGAATAACCGAACTTGATCGAATATTCGACTAATTTCGAAAAAATGTTCGAATATTATTCGAATATTTGAATGCAATATTCGAATATGCGAATATTCGAATAACTATCTTTTAAAACTACTCGAATGAACGAATATTCGAATAATCTTTTTTAAAACTCCTCGAATAAACGAATATCCGAATAAGTCATTTTTCGAAATCGTCGAATGAACGGATTATTCGAATATAGGTCTTTTTCATTTATCCGACTGTTCGAATAATCGAATAAATGGACTTTCTCAAATATTCGACTATTCGAATATTCGAATAGTTGAATGTTTCAAATAAATTATTCGAACACGAATATTCGGTGCTAACTATAGAATACGGGTTGATCGCTTTCTGGGTTAAGGTTTGTCTTTAAGGGTAGAATTTACCCACGACGTTCATAGGTCGGTGCAGGTTAATCGCTTTCCATAAACCTTGCTCTTTCGCTGAAGGAGAGGACCAATGAATTTTGAAGGTAAAACCTAATTTTGAGGGTAGGGTTTACCTTCACGGTCCGTTGATGAAAACGGCCACTGATTTTTCTGTTGACCACTGAGAGTACATATTGCAGACTTTGACCTTCCAGGTCCTGAAGAAGGCGAAGACGTTAAAACGGCGGCCAATAAAAATTTTATAATAATCTTGACTGTTGGTGAAACAACATAATATACAAGTATATGACATGTCGAGATTGAAAAATAGCCCTGACATGGAAGGTCCCACTTTGGGATTTTACATAGAAGTCCACTTTGGAAAATCACGACATACCCTCTAAGGTGCGCGAAGGTATGACTCCAAAATAACCTCTAGCGAACTACGTATGGATGGAAGTGAAGATAAGAAAAATAGAGATAGGGCAGCAGAAAAGCTAAACAATTTGACACAATACATTTGCCCTTTCCATTTGAAAATGACATCCGTGCGTGTCAGCCATGGACAGAACATCGTGTGCAGAATCAATATCAAAATCAAAATTTATTTGGGCGAAACCCATGATTAAATTTGTGGTCTTTCAATAATACAAGAGGACATAGTTGGTGAAATTGTAGTTGTCTAAAACATCTATGACTACAATGGTCCATTACTTTCATCCTTCTTCTTCTGGAAGTGATGTACTGAATCCAATTCTTTGCTTCTGCATGTCATAAATGTTGCAGTACTGCCTAAAGGGTTCTCCAAGAATCCAACTAGGTCCAAAGGAGCCCGAATCAATGCTTGACAGAGCCAGATAGCATTTGAATTCTTCCAACGTTATCAGTATGCTGTGTCCTTTCACAGTGTAATTGTTGTTACCAATAACAAACCCAATCTTTGGAAATCCATCGCAGTCAGTAAAGTAAATATCTTCTTCCATGCTGTACTGTAACGAAAATTTATGAAATCAATACTTATTAAATTGCTCTTATAGGGACAAAAGATGTCTTTGGTAGATAGAGGGGAGTAGCGTTGAGAAGAAAAAGATGCATAACCGCGATAGTTGGTTTTTATAGTTCATCCTAGGTTTATCCTTCTCGAAGCATTGCCCATTGCCCAGTCAATCAATGTACAGGGCATTTATGGAATTTAAGGAATCATGACAATGGCGGCTTCCTGCGCGTCGCGTATGCTGTTTCGACAAGTGCTTTTTTGGCTTCTTTCTTTGATCAAACGGTTTCTTGAATGCATATGATATAGATATTCATAGATACTGGTTGCATCTGAGCTGAGCACTAAGGCCCGTATGCACGTAGATCCCCGCGGGGAGGGGAGGGGATCTGAGTGGGGAAGCGCCATATCTCGCTGATCTAGATATCTTTCTTTCTTCTTTTCTATCGTGCTTGTATAGGTTCTCATACCCTAATACCTGCGCATAATGGATGCCAGGTTACTGCTATACAAGTTTAAATATTTATTATTTCTTCCGATCCCCTGGGGATCCCCAGGGGATCATCTCACATTTTCAAAGTCATTTATCTTCCTGAAAAATCAATGAAAACGCTGCAAAATTGTACTGAAGATATACTACGATACTGCTGAGCATGTTTTCGACCGAAGAAATGGAATCTGAAGATTTTGATTTTTTTCGATAATCCCTGGCTCGCGAGCAGCGGTTCATCGAAGATTTTGATATTTTGAGATTTCACTCATTTCCACCATAAAGATGTTTAGCAGTGCTGTAGTATATCCACAGTACAATTTTAGAGCATTTTCATCGAGTTTTCAGGAAGATAAATAGCTTTGAAAATGTGAGGTGATCCCCTGGGGATCCCCAGGGGATCAGACGAAAAAGTGAATATCTAATCTAGTATGGCAGTAACCTGGCATCCGTTATACGCAAGTACCAGCGTATGAGAACCTTCAAAACCAAGACATAGAAAGAAGAAGAAAGATTCATAGACTAGCGAGATATGACGCTTCCCCTCTCAGATCTTCTCCCCTCCCCGCGGGGATGTACGTGCATACGGGCCTAAAGTGATGGTTTTTGGAGCGTATTGCGGTTTGACGCAAAGATCGAATATGTCATCACGTTTTTATGACTACCCTGTAGGTCTGCTGTTCTCCTCTAACGAATTTCTTTCCTTCGCTTGGGCCAAAAGCAGCTCGCGCTTTGTTTTTGAAAATCGCGACCATAAACACAATCGCATATTCCCACGAAGACCATAAGGAAAAGCAATGCCTTGATGTAACACCATCATCAATAATTACCTCTGCCTGTAATGCTTCTGCTAGTTTTTCGACTATGCTTTGCGGTGCACGAATGAAGGAAGTACCCGTATCCGAAATAGCTTCCCAGCTTGCACTTGCATGAAAATTTCCACTTGAAACGCTTTTCAGCTGAGAATATCATGTTTATATGCTGAATATATCTCATATCACTAGGTATACCTCAAACTGCCAATATCCAGCACGCGTTAATTCCTGATAGACCACATCATCTTTACAGTTAACATTATCAGTTCCTCCATATGTGTACACACCAGCGTGTGTACCTCCTAAAAATTCCTTTGTATATAAGAATTTGCCTTAGTAAATATGTTCTCAGCAGTATGATAAGATTGATAATGACTATCAAAAATTTCTTTTAACTTCTTCTGGTGTCTTCATTTGGTAACACAATTGGAAAGTGCAAAAGACAAATCAAAGGATAGTATGTGAGTCCAACTATAAGGTATCTCGGACGTATCATCCGACATGGGTCGTATCGGACAATAGGGATGCTGACAGGCGATGGTAAAGTCGAATTTGGAGGGCTTTCGTGTCACTACCAACAATCTAAGCACCGCGAAGGGTTCTGTAAAAAAAGGCAGAGCGCGTGTACATTGAAAAAACTCTACGAGATACTAGACTCTAATGGAGAACGTGAAATCTACCGAGTAGCGAGAAGTAAGTGTTGTGTTTGCCATAGCGTGTGTAGGAAGACGACTGGAGACCGAGTTCTTTACTTGACGACAAGGAACTAAGAATGTATTATACTTACTAAGGAATGCCTATATATAGTGCACACAACTATATCACATATCATAAACAACAGATCAACATATTCGTTCATTCTTCTCGAGCATTGGTTTCTTGTGCGGCTGTACAACACCTTCCCTTCTAAGTGAAGCGGTGGGTCCTTTCCGCGCTGAGAATTGAGTTGACACTTCATCTTCTTAGGTTGCACTTTATGTTTCTCGTCAGCCGAGTAAAGGGGACCTGGAGCGATATAAACTTCGTATTCAATGAACATCTCACCAAAGGAGCAGTCATCCAAAGTTGGGCTTGATATATCGCGACAGTGCATGGAAAACTTTTGTACTGCCTCGGCTAACGGCTCCTCCCTTTTCGGCTTGGATACTAGGCACTGGAAGTTGTCGACGATTCTTTCGGCTTGTTCGTTGAACTGCTGATGGCGAGTAAGTCGAACTTGTCTGGCCTTTCCAGAATCGCGGATTTCGGCTGTCCTGAATTGAGCAATATCATAAGAAACAGGTACCTCGGCACTTCCAAATTGACTGGATTTTGAACGGGTTTTGCCGAATATCTTGCTCTCATCCTCTTTTTCGAGCACAAAGGCAGCCGTTGCTTTCGTGCCGTCTTCTGTTTTGGGTTGAAACATTTCTGCGAACTGTGTTGTCAGGTGAGTTGCTTCTTGCCAAGTGTATCGTTCGTAGCGGTCACTGCATTCAAATTGTGATAGCCGATATCACTGTGAAAGGCACAATCGCTCTGGTTCCAATGCACTTCAAGTAGAGCTGGTCCATCAAGTACATTTGTGGTACCATTCAAGGCGATGCCATTCAGCGCATGCTCACATGTGCCGTGTCCATGGCATGTAATGCTGGTCCCATTAGCAGCAGTCGAATTATGTTTTGGGTTCTTTAGCTTGTGTCGGCCAGTCTTGATCCATGTGTCGCGATCTTCAACTCCACAGTCAAGTCGTAACTCGATACTTGTGTTGTTGGTTTTCATATTGCAGTACGACTTTGTTTCTTTAGACGGTGAGATGACGACAGGATGGACGTCCTTGGCTTCATCGAAATAGTTTACGCAGACAGTACCTCTCTAGATGTCCACGCTTCTTGCAGTAGTTGCATTCAGTGATCGGCTTCTCGCACTTCCTGGTCCTATGGGTCTTCGCTCCGCAGTGTTCATACAAAGATGTGTTCTGGGCTTGTGACCGATGAATGGTTTCCGCTTCTCGTCTCGCTGCATCGCGTTGACTTGCGGGTTCTCATTCATCTGATTCACGCTGACCTGAGGTACCTTGGCTTTGTCGATCATCTGTATGTGATTCTGCAGTTCCAAGTAGTCTTTGTACTCTTCGTTGGATTCTTTCTTCGTCAGTTCAGCCATGGGTTCTCGACAAGACTTCCATAATTCCATGATTTGCTTCATTAAAAAGTGGATCGTGTCCGTGTTCGGGCTCGGGTTCGGGTTCTGATCGAATTCTGGTAGACGAGTAGCGAGTGCATTCATCACGTAATCCTCGCTGAATCCTTGTTCCTTCTTTACTTCTTTCCGCAGCTCCATGATTTGCAGCATCAGAAGGTGGGTTGGGTCCATGTTGGGGGTGGGGTTTGGGCTCGGGTTCGGGTTCTGATCGCCAGTTGTTCTGTTTGCCATGGCGTGTGTAGGAAGACGACTGGAGACCGAGTTCTTTACTTGACGACAAGGAACTAAGAATGTATTATACTTACTAAGGAATGCCTATATATAGTGCACACAACTATATCACATATCATAAACAACAGATCAACATATTCGTTCATTCTTCTCGAGCATTGGTTTCTTGTGCGGCTGCACAACAGTAAGGCACCTACTTCATGTTAATGACAAATTTGGGATGCTTAAAAGAATCAGAGGGCGTGAGAGATTTGGAGAACCTACTTTGAAGAGATGACCACCATAGGCAGCACGTCAAGTCCATACCAAAAGCTAATCCTATGGGAGGACCAGTACCAGCAGTTACGGAAGAGGAGTTATGATAGCTGTAAAGAAAGAGTGGCAAAGTGATTAGTTTAGACGACATACTGGTGAGCTCTGGACAATATGCAGGCAATCCGGAGCTTCCTAATTCATCAAATTCTCTCAGAATCTTGAATCATAAAGTGTAAGGGTATGCTTGAGTGGTATACCAGGCGACCATTCCGATATATAAGAACAAAAAGACATAGCAGACTGCACGCTATTACCTTCAAGTGATGAACCACACTCTAAAGATCTCCGAGCGAATAATAGTATCAAACGCGGCTTCGAGATATTATGAAGTTGTCATTGAATCAGAGCGGAGGTAAAAGGAGTAGGCATAATCAGCGCATACTCGCTTGTCTAATCTTAAAGCAGTACAAAAAGAAGCAGAAGAAGTTGCACGCAGTTTTTTTGGACCTTGAGTAAGTTCTCCATAAAATGCCCCAAAAAGTCATATGGTGGATGCGAACAGCAAGCGGGGGTTACCGTCTCAAAGAGGCGAGCAGGGAAGATCAAAGAAGCTGGACTATAGGCGAACATCAAAGTTTTTTTGAAAATACGTCTGGCGGCGATCAACTTGAGATCACTCACTGGCCGGCGCGAAGTGGCAGACCTACCCAAAAGACGTAAAGTTAGCATTGCCTGCATTCAAGAGATCAAACGGAAGAGAGAGTAGGCACGAGATATAGAAAATGACTTCAAGCTTTTGTATAATGGGGCAAGCACTACCAGGAATGGCGTCGGCATAGTCGTCTCGGAAATGCTCAGGGACGGAATTACTGCCGTAGATCAGTTGAGTCATTGTCTGATGAGTTTGAGAATAGATGCAGGAAAAAGAGGATCTGAGTGGTAACGGCATACCACATTCAAGATGCGAAGAAGAAAATGAAGTTTTGTGGCACGCTCAATGTCTAGATCAGCTCAATGCAGGATGAGGTGCTTCTGAGAAGCAGATCTCAGCAGTACGTGGGGAAGCAACGAAGTGATGTGCAAAGATGTTATGATTAACGGCTACAAGATAGTCAATGAAGGCGGACCATTCTAGAAGTCGTTACTGCTCACAAACTGGCATTGGAAAACACTCACTTCATCGAGAAAACCAGCCACCAATTAGCGTATGCCAGTAATAAACTAGCCTTGGCCGTGTTCATCAACGAACCCTGAGGGTAAACCCTACCCTCAAGGGTAGGTTTTACCCTCAGGATTCATTAGCCGCTTCACCAATGAACCTCTGAGGGTAGGGTTTATCCCTAGAAAGTGATTACCCCGAATTCATCAGCGAACCTTGAGGGTAAATCTTACCCCAGAAAGCGATTCACCCGTATTCACGAACGTGGCCCATCGAGGTAAGTTTGCAGCATAGAGCAGGATTAGATTCACTTTGACACTTTGTAGAAACATCAAATGATCTCTCGATGCACCATTCACTCCTATACTGTTTTGATAATAAACATTTATAGTTGTCTAAGGGCTTTGATATGGCCAAGCTCAACAATTCAGAAATATTTTCGTCATATGGAACTCTCTCATTCAAATTTCAATTCACCGATATACTCGTTCATAAATAGATTTGATACATGACTGAACTATCGTAGTTTGACTAGATTCACATAAAGCTGACCAACAGAATACCAAAAATTTTTATTCTTGTTTTTGTAATGTGAGAGAGACGAAAAGAGGACTTGAAAAAATTTGATATAATAATGATCAGAAATGTGTTTGTTGCTAAAGCAGTATAGTTGCACTGAGTGGTCATCGAGAGATCATTTTATGTTTCTACGAAGTGTCAGGGTAGATTTGAATTCACCTTGCCAGGATTGAATTTACATTGGTGAGCAACGTTTGTGAATATGGATTAATCGCTTTCTGTGGTAAGGTTTATCCATCAAGGATCGGATTTATTTTCAAGTTTCGTTGATGAATACGGGTTAGTTGTTCTCTGCGAGAAGGTTTAACCTCAACGGTAGGTTTAATCCTTGTGGTTAAACCTACCCTGCGCTTCGTGAATACTGTTCTATGCTTTCTGGCGTAAAAGTTACCCTCAAGGTAAGGTTTATTCTAGGGTTCGTTGGTGAATATGGCCACTGGAGTTTACAGCAACGCTAGCTCAAGTTAGTGAAGAATAGCAAAGTTATCCCAGATGAAGACTACATACTGCAGCATAAACCATTGTTACTAGATGTGCGTATCCCGTTCACAGAAGAAGATAGATGGCAAGACGTGCGTGCATAAAAAATGGAGTCAAGAACAATGCCTACACAAAAGCGACAATAAAGGTCGCCTCGGGATTGGAAAGTGATCCAAAACGCTTTTGTACGAGAACGAAGAACAACATCCATCAAGTAGCTGTTGATGTAGGGGTACAGGAAACCCGAGAGATTGGATTTTGACAAGGAAACTAGCTGGTGGAGTGAAGGCGTACAGCCTGGTGAAGAAAAAGAAGACGGCATACAGGATATAGCCAGGGTCAAGCGTGGGGTGCCGCACGCCACACCTGGGGATCGTATTGAGGAGTCAAAAGGGGAGGGGGTCGTAGTTGGGT